CACACACACACACACACACACACACACACACACACACACACACACACACTATTACTTAGGTAATAATGAATTTGTCTTCTGGGGCATTTCTTCATCCTTATCACGAAGTGTAGATTCACTTTACTAATGCACCCTACATTTATGGAATGCTTATTCTATGAAAACACTTATATTAACTATAAAAAGCTATAGTTACATATTTCTATAAGCATTGGGTATTATTTTAAGCACATCTGATAATAAATAACACCTTTATGTTGTTATCTCACTTTTTCCCCCTCTTGCGTTTCTAACTAGGGTAGAGACTGAAGCTGATAGTAGTGGTGCCTTGAGTTGTCTACGGCCTATCCGAGTGCTTTTACTCACTTATTCATACACACACACAGGGCCAACTGCCACCAGTACAACACTTTAAATACTAACTGAAACCTTGATTTTCATATACAGATCCTACTAACATGACATGTTCATGACATGAACATGAATCATGTAGTAGTGTTTTTTACCCAGTTTCTATTTGTGCTGAAATAGCACTAAATAGGAAAGGATCACTTAAAAAGTTGTAAAATTGATATTTTTTTCCCAGCTATGCATTTGTAATTTTTATTTCCTTTGGGGGGGGGAGGCTAACTTTTCCCTCCCATGCTTCCCTTGACATGTGAAGACCTCATAGGAATCCTGTGGTTACCTCACAGGCAGATTCTAGAATGAGCTGTTACAAGCCCTCTAGCAACCAGTACACCTTGAATGAAGAAGGAAACAGCACTGGCTAACTGAAGGGACTGAAGGAAGTGTGGAAGGACTGAGCATAAGAAGGGGAAAGGGGACCTCCATTATGGAGTGCTTCCTTGCTGCAGCCAAGGGAACCTGGATTTTATGGCAGCCAGTGCTTCAGAAAACCAGTGGCCACAGGGAGGAGTTTTAAGAACTGGAAATTAAAAGAGAAGCCAGAGTCATGCCATATTTATCAAGGGAGAATGAAATTTGCTTACTGGAATTATTACAAAACCATAGCATTTCAGAAAATTTTTCAAAGAGCCCTTAGAGATCCTTCATAATTATTATGGCTGTCCCACTGGCAGGTAATATACAAACTGTTTTCTTTTTAAAGATTTTACTCATTTATTTGTGTGTGTGTGAGAGAGAGAGAGCACAAGCAGGGGGAGTGGCAGGCAGAGGGAGAAGCAGACTCCCCACTGAGCAGGGAGCCTGATGCGGGACTCGATCCCAGGACCCTGGGACCATGACCTGAGCGGAAGGCAGACGTTTTACCGACTGAGCCACCCAGGCATCCCATACAAATCATTTTCTTGAGCTCTGTGCCCTCCTAGGCCAGTCAGACCAGTCAATGGGCCTGGTTAGAAGAAACTTGTTCCTCTTAAAAAATATCATGAATGAAGAAATGGCCATGAATCACCCTTGGCTCTGAATAGCAGAGGAAGGGAAAAAAGGTCATATTAAAAAAAAATGCATTAATTAATAGTTCAATTACAAGGAAATTCCTATGGGAGAACACATTATATGCACTTTAAACCAAATGAATTTATGATGATTTATGCCATTACAATGAGTGCAAAATGAATTAATAATGATTGGCCACTTATTTCAAAGTGTAACCAAGTGAAGGAAGCCTTTTCCCACTTGTTAATGTCCATCAAAGAACAAGGATGGCAGAGTGCCATTTGGAATTCTATTCCTTTGCTTTATACAGAAACTTGAATTAATTAAAAATAATCCCAATCTAGTGTGTATTATTCATGGATATGGACTAATTAACAAACACTTCTATAACTAAATGCCTATATTAATGCAGTTATTAAAAACTTAAACTGTTTACATCCTGCATTGCACAAAAACAAGTCTTTTTTTTTAATAAAAAGCATAAAGTAACTGTTAAATTAGGAAACCAATTTAACAAAGATATTTAAAAACTCATTAATCTACTATCAGTTTTATCAGAACAGTCCTATTTCAATGTAATTTGCTGTTTCTTGTCCTATAATCAGAAGACTCTAAAATCCCAATGCTCTTTGATTCAAAGTACATTTTTTTCGGTTCTGTTGAATTTCAAATTGTGTCATACAATGAAATTTAAAATTATTTTGGCTTTTAGTATTTTATATATTTTGGATGGCAAACTAAAATTAGGGAGTCTTACCTTCACATCAACAAAAAGATATGACTTATTGCATATAGCCTTTTTCTGCCTGAAGAATGTAAAGAGTGCTGATTTTCAGACAATCTGAGAATCGGCAACAAAGAAGAAAAATAGTAGGAACAGATGTTTCTGGTATCAAAGAAGTAAAAAAAAAAAAAATCCATTAATCTAGGAAGTCTTTAATTAAATGGTCCAAATACTCCCATGTCTTGTTTCCCAAAAGGTGTAGGATGATTAAACGGCGTGAATGAGTGGGTTGGCGAGTAGGTGGGAGACAAAAGAACACCAGGGTTTAAGTTCTAGCTCTAGCACCTACGAGCTGAGTGATCCTCTATTCATTCAATATTTACTAGTGCTTACTATGTCCAAGGCACTGTTTTTAAGCACAGGTCAACAAAATCTGTGTTCTCATGGAGCTTACATTCCAGTTGGGCCAGAAAGACCAAGAGAACAAACAGATATGCCACGGAGTCCTAAGTCCTGTGAAGAAAAATAAAGCAAGATAAGAGCCTAGAAAGTGACAGAGAGGAAAGGACTCTGCCGAAGGTGACATTTGAACAAAAGCCTGAGTGAAATGAAAGAGAGACATGTGGGCATTGTGTGGGAGAAGCATTCTAGGCTGAGGGGACAGCACAAAGGCCCTGCGGTACGTAGGGGTCCCTAAGGGCCAGCAGGAAGTTCAGAGTGGTTAGATGGCAGTGAACAGGACAAGAGTGAAAGGACATGAAATCAGAAAGGCAGCCTTGGGATGGATCACACAAGGTCTTTTCCCCATGGGACTGTGTTATGAGAAACTCATGGAAATTACGCGGAGGAGAATGACATGACCCGCTGTCAACCAGAAAGTATCAGGGTGCTGTATACGGAATAGATTGGGGAGGGTGGGGGGAAAGAGTCACATTAGGGAGGCCAACTCAGAGGTTCTTAAAATGGTCCACGCAAGAGATAATGATGGCATGGACTAAAACAGTCGTGACACAGTTCTCATACTGTGTAAAACTCTGGATTTAAAAAAAAAAATTAGACGATAGAGCACACAGGATTCACTGAGGGATTGGATGGGAATATAGGACGGAAAGAGAAGTTAAATGGATCCAGGCATTTTGGCATGAACAGCTATGTGAATGGTGGTGATACTCACTAAATGAGTAACAATAGGAGAGAAGGAAGTTTTTTTCTTTGTTTTTGAAGTGGGAACAATAATCCAAATTTTCGTTTTAGGCACTTCCAGTTTGAGATATGTATCAGACATGTGAAGGTAGACTTCAGATAAACCACTGGATGTATGAGTCTGGAGACTGGTGTGGAAACCAGGGCTAGAATTAAGAAGTTAGAAATCATCCATGTACACATGCGCTGAAACCATGTGACTGGCGGTAATGCCTGGTGAATGAGGGTAGGTACAGAGGAAAGAATGGGAACACCAAGACTGAGTACAAGTGGCTAATGAGGTGGGAGAACCAAGAAAGGACAATGTCACAGTAACCCAGCAGAGGTGCAGGTTTTAACATAGCTGAATTACATGCTACCAAGAGACAGAGAAAAGAGCTGAGAATTGTTCACTGGCTTTGGCAACATGGAAGTCACTGGTTATCTTACTGAAAAGGTTTCAGTAGAGTGAAAGTTAGAAAAGCCTGAATGAGGCAGATTCAGGAAAAAGATGGTGGCTGAGAAAGCAGGGAAGGTAAACATCATCAGAGTACTTAGTGCAGAATGTATACAATTATGCAGATTAGAGTATTTGCATTTTCCTGTAACAGTGATTTCTTAATAACTACTGATAATAATGCGATGTTCATGTTACCTTCTATAGATACAGACAATGGAGGAAACAGATAGGAGTGTCTGGTTAATGTGACAAGTATTTCTCAAAGTGTTCCATGCATAGCTTCTAAATCTTTCTCTGGACCTGATCACCTTCAGGAACCAACCAATCAAGAGTGAGTCTCTGGCCTTCAAAGCAGAGACTGGTCTTTCCAGAGATGAACCCCCCCGTAACATGGCAGTTTCATTCATGGCTGATCAGGAATGTATCATAACCCTTCCTGGTCATCTGTACACCATTAAACATCCTGTGAGAGGGGTTTGCCAGATGGATTATAGGATTCTTGAAGATGCTGATATACCTCTCCAAAATAACTGACTTACTGCTTGATCAAAGCCTCATGCTCAGTTATTTTGCCCATTTGCACTACTCTAGTGGTTTTAGAATTAAATTATTAAAAAATACATGAAATCTAAATAAAATCTTAGAAGAAAAAAGGGGGGTGGGTCTGGGTGGCTCAGTCAGTTAAGCATCTACATTGGGCTCAGGTCATGATCCCAGAGTCCTGGGATCGAGCCCAGCATCGGGCTTCCTGCTCGGCGGGGAGTCTGCTTCTCCCTCTCCTACTCTCCCTGCTTGTACTCTCTCTCTGTCAAAAAAATAACATCTTAAATAAAAATAAAAAATACATGAAATCAAAACAATGACATTTTCCCAAAAATACCATTAATGTTAACCAAAAGTATGGCAAAAACTGAAATGCTTCATGAGAATTTCATAATTGCATACTCTTTTTAAATAATTCACACAGACTAAGTAAGTTAGCATAATCTCAAAGTAATTTTATAAGTAGTCTACTGGAGATGAAAATCATATGCAAGATTAGCTGCTCTCTTTTCTACTACCACAGTAAAACATTCACCGGGAACAAGGAGTGGCTGAATGTTAACCCTTCACAGACAGATCATCAAAAATGAGAAAGAGCTGCCCTTAGCGGACACTAAATATTAAGTAAACTTTGAGATGAAGACTAGAGTAACCCTAGGAGAAATAAATTCAGGATCGCTTTACATGCGAGCAAATAAACAAATGCCAACATTCTCAGTGCAAGCACTCTAAATGTTTCCTTTCCACACATTTATTTTATTGAAGTTGAGTAAGGGAGGGAAAAAAAAGATGAGCAAACAAAAGTCACTCTGCTGCCTGTTTCTCAGTCTGGACATCTTTGTTTAAGCTTTGACTTGGCTTAAATGAACGAATTAATATTGACAAAAACATCAACTAAGCTAATGAGTTGTTAGTTAAGGCAATAAACATGTCACATTAGAGTCAGCGCAGTAAAGAGGTAATTAGCCCTGGAAAAGCCCTGCTGATTGGAGCTGTTGAGATCCTCTGCTCTTAACCTTTGAGTCCATTATCCAGCCCAGGAGTGGTGGCTATGTTAATGGGAACTCGCTAGTACACAGCAGCCTGGCTGGAGCAGCTAGACCTGCATCCGAATTCTGGGATGAAAGGGGTGCTGGTAGGCTTACAAGACAGCCATCAACAAAGCTCCGTGCTCTTTGAGGAATAGATATTAATGTCCAACAGAGAAGGCAAATATATTTCCAAAGAAATATTTGTGGGTATATATATTTTTAATAAAAAAATACTTAGCAATATATTAAGTAACATATAATGAGACAAAGGACAAGTCACTCTCATCACAAAATATTCTCCCATCTGCAAATAAGGATGCCCTGACCCCTTCCAGATAAAGCACAGGATACTGTAATATGATGAACTCCTAAGCTATAAAAGCAACAAAGATGACAATTAAAAACCATAGCTAATAATTTACATTCATTTAAGACAAAAAAAACACATGCTATTATACTTCTAAAATACCTATGTTTATATGAATAATTACAAATCATCCTTCAGAGCAGTTTGCTCTGTAAGATCTTTCATTTTTTTTTTTTTAACTTCTCACTAATTTTACCAATTTGGCTTTGGAACAACACTAGCATTTCAAAGTCTATGCTGAAAAAGAAATTAGATTCTTACAGAAAAATCACAAATAGGAGGACAGAACTACACAGGAGTTAAAACAGAACACATATAAATAAAATGTCCATTCTCTCAATTAGTGGATCCTGTCTGAAATAAAGCAAAAGACCATATTGAAGAGTACAATGTGAACTTGCATCATCTTCGTAATAACTTCCAAAAAATTGTCAAATGGGCTAAGTTTTGACATTGCTTCTAATACTATATATGCATATAAATGTATTAATTGATACTAGTATGTGCACAGGAATAGGTTAGATTGAGATCATATTATCAGGAAATACATATTTTTCCTTTGGCAACTTGTCTTTCCTTTGAGCTTAAAAACACACACATTCAAGATAAATACTACACTGCCATCCATTTTGCATACTTTAATAATTTTATGCTATTTGCCTTTACAGAGCAAGAGAATGTTCCATCCTAATTCTGTTATTATGTAGGTTTGACGGTAGAGCGGTTAGATACGCAGTGCTCCTTGCCGCTACTACCGCGCGTGTGTGCGCAGTATGTATCTGGGGGTTAGAGGGGGAGAGACATGGGACATTTACTATACAGTAAATCAGTATGTGCTCTCTTTTTTCAGGCTGAGTAATTTCGAAAGGGACATGAAGGAATTAGTTTCCTCATACCTTACTGGGCAGTGTATGGTTTTAATATTTCCCTCCCCTCAATACAGCTTTCTACTGAATTTGCAAAACAGCTGTATAAGGCTTAATTTTCCTTGGTTAATTCTTTTACATAATTAAATTTAGATTGAAAAGCATTATAAACCAGTCTTCACTTTCAATGAAAGATGAACCAAGAAGTAATGCTACAAACTAAAGAGAAATACATTCTTTTTGTTACTTTATTGTCACTGACAGCTAAGTGTAACCTGAAAAAATACACTACAGTACTTACTTCTTCTATTATACAGAGAACATATACAAATGTCCAAATACTTCTATTGTCTAGGAGCAATAAAGAAAAATAAGGTTGTCAAAATATTTTTAAGACTACACCCATACTTTAAATCCATACCTGTAATTATTTATATAATTTCATGTCTAAGCAGTATATCACAGAACAAGAGTGTTCAATCTTTTTTCTATCCCAACATACTTGCAGAATATGACATATTACAAACAATTTCTTACTGTGATGGAATGGGGGTAGCAAAAGTGGAGGGAAGCAGAGTACCATAAACATAATTTGAAAACGCCTTCCAGGTGATTCAGATGTGTTACCCAACTTCACACCTTGCCCTTCCCACTTCCAGTCAGGAGGCCAAAATGACCACCCCACCCCCTACACAGTCCTGTGACTGAAAATCCATAGAGAGTAGTAAAGAGCTATGAAGTATAATCTGAATTCTAACCCTACACCCACAAACTGATAAATTAGATCTCAGGTAATATGAACTGGCTATTAGTTTCCTCATCTGAGATAAAATGAGATGGAGAGAAGACCTATTTCTTGAGTTGACAGGAATAATAAATGACAACATGTATCATGCCTAAAACGGGGTAGGCTCTTGATAAATTCTTCTTCCTCCATCTTCCTGAACACAATTAGACAAAAATTGTTATTTTCCTCAATCACAGACATTTATTTGTATATTATCCTAAGACTTCAAAAATGGGCTTTTGAAAAAGAGGAAAACTAGTGGAACTCTAGTTCTCTTATAAATATGTAATATCAAGGGGCGCGTGGGTGGCTCAGTCGATTAAGCGTCTGACTTTGGCTCGGGTCATGACCTCAGGGTTGTGAGATCGAGTCTGACATTGGGCTCTGTGCTCAGTGGGGATTCTGCTTGAGATTCTTTCTCCTTCTCCCTCTGTCCCTCCCCTCACTCATGCTTGCTCTCTCTGTCTCTCAAATAAGTAAAATCTTTAAAAAAATTTTTTTTAAATATATGTAATATCAAGCAGTTTACCAGTCAGAAAAAAAACAATAAAATGAATGAATGAATGAATGAATGGAAGGAAAATGGTAAGAAGGAAAACTGTATTTGTTGCCTGGTAGGTGGCATGTACTATTTTGAATGCTTTTCCTATAAGATTTCATTTAATGCTGAAAATAGCCCTGGGAGGAATATATTAGTTTCAGTTTTGAAGATGAGGAAAACCGCTTCTCAGAAACCTTAAGTAACTTATTCTAGATCATACTATGAATAATGCCACAATAGGATTTACCTGACATGAAATCCTCTATTCTGTCCATTATATTTTATACAATAGATATTTAAAAATAACAGGCTATGCCATATTCCAGACTTAAGATGATATCTGCAAATGATTTTAATACTGCAAATGAAATACACCATATTATTTCTTGCCTGGTAATCCCAGAAACCATAAATTGGCTTCATGATGATCGAGCAATCACTGAATCATTTTAACATATATCGAAAGTGAAAAGTCTGACTGGCAGAGCCCCTTAAGGAATACTGAAATGGTTTATCTGAATAATCTGCATATATTAACACATAACAAGAAGACAGAGAAAGGCAAACAAATATTCTAACACTGGTTTTCTAACCTTTTCCCTGTTAACTCTGGTCTAGTTAAACTGGGCTAGCAATGCTATTTTTTTTCCTCTCAAAATCTATAGAGGGCGAATCAAATGTGAAAGCAAGATCAATTCTGTTCTAAGACAGTAAATGAGCTTAAGATCAGACCTGTTTCAGTTTATGGAGAGAATCTAATTATGCTAGCTTAAATATATGTTCACAGAACTATACTACGGAGTCAGGAAAAAGAGAAAATACCCTCACTCACCCCACTGACAAGCAAATTTCATGGGCACTGATAGGGTTTAAAAAAAAAATCAGGCCCACAGACCACACCATCCATAAAGCAAAAGCTACAGAGCAAAATATCTTCCCCCATATTTTTATAAAAGTCAGGAGCTGGAATGGTCCAACCTCATTATTACAGATCTGAAAACAGAAGCTCAGAGAGGTTGTATGGCTTACTTTACATTGAAGAGCAAGTGCTATGGCCTGTCCAGAAGCCAAAGCTCCAGTCTCAAAAACCAGCATCCCCTCTATGGTAACACAAGGTCTCCACAAGTGAGGTTCACAATGATCGTCATCATAACTGCATTGATCACAACCATATCTCAGTGCTGGGCACACTGCCTGGCACTGAGGAAGCATTAAAAATATTTGTGGAATGAATGAACGGACTTGCTTCACACTCCACCATCCACATTTTAACTACCTTTCAAGTAGATCTCGGTTAGGTTTTCCTTTATTTACCAAGCTTTGCTGGTCACTTCCAACTTCTGTGTCCCTGAGTTTCTGGAGCACATCTTGTTCATACCATTCCAAGAAATACTAGACTTAGCTCAGAATTCGATGAGACTTCAAAGATGGTCTGGCCCAGAGGTGTCCAATCCTGGTATTTAGGATCACCTGATGAGCTTAATG